GTCTTCCCCATTATTTGATGACTGAAAGATTTCTTTCATATGTGAATATATTTTAAGGAGCTTCTACTGTGTTAATTTCCAAACAACCACTCAAATGGCACCCAGTTTTAGTTGACCCCCATTATTCCCACCCTTCCCCACCTCTTCCCTACCCCTCTAATGTTTGATGTTCTTTTTCCAGTTCTCCCCCCACCCTTGCTTTAGGTAATCTATAACTATCTATTCTATTTCCTCTTCATAGGGAGATCCCTCCCTCCTCCTAGTCCCTTACTCTATAGCTAACCTCTATGGCTATACAGATTGTGTTTTGGCATCCGAGTTACCAGACTTAGGATGATTGTTTTCTAGTTCCAGCCATTTACCTGTGATTTCACAATTCCATTTTTTAACAGCTGAGTAATATTCTATGTGTAAATGTACCAGTTGCTTTATCCATTTATCCAATTCTGCATTTTTATAGGTTTTCTGTGTGTGTGTCTCTATATCCGCATGTGTTTTTTGTGCTTTTCCTTTGTTTCTTTTCTTTATTTGTTTTCTCCTATTCTTGCCTGTTTTTGTTTTGTTATTTTTCAGATGCCTATTTGTATTCTAATGAGAGAGAAAAAAGGGTGTGGATTTGGATCAGTGGGGGATGGTGTGGGGAGGATCTGGGATGAGTTGGAACAGGGGAAACTGTGATTAGAATATATTATATTAAAAAATCCATTTTTCAAAGATATGTGTGTGTGTGTGTGTGTGTGTGTGTGTGTGTGTGTGTGTGTGTACATATCTGTAAAAAGAACAGCAAGGCTACATTTCTCAAAAGCTGACATAAAGTAGTGGTCCAGGGACACACTGCTTTATGCATGTTTGGTGCTTTTTTTTATTATTTTTATTACCAGTAAACAAATGCCTTTTGACCTGAAGATTCTGTTTGAGTCAAATAACCAGAGAAGTGAGCACATATTTGCACTAGAGGACAGACACAGGAATGTCCTTCATCCTAGTAAGTAAGAGATACAGTACTCTCATAGTCAACTAGTACTCTGCATAGGGATAAAAATCATGACTGTTGACTGTACAGCAGCATGGGCACAGCTCATGAGGTACTAAATAGGAGGTTGTTCAGAACACATATGCTGGTTGCTTAATGTCAAACAAAAGCTAATCCCTTGTGAAGGATTGAATACAGGTTAGTTTTTGGAGCCCAGGCCCTGGGATGGAAGATACCAACAGTGTCATGTAGATGGTGGACAGGTGGTACTTGTGGACCTATTGTGTAAATATGTGTTGAAAGGCAATGGACGCATACTATAAAGATTAGTGCATTTTCTCATATGAATCTTATCCTCACTAATAATTTTTGTTTGAGTGGAATATTTGCAACCTCACAACATAATTTAGAAGTATAACTTGTGGAGCAAGAAAGGTTTTGTGTAAAACTAAAACCTCAGAAAGCCACAATGTAATGATGAGCCGGTGATAGTGATATGGTTTAGGTACCTGGACTGTCAGGCTGGCTTTGCTTGCTGGCATTGGAAGCTGCAGAGGGAATCCTGAGAGGTATTTCTCCAAGAAGCCACAAGGGGATCTCCAAGCTAAGGCAGCCAGCTTCTGCCTCTCATGCTTTCCCACCTCCTGTGGAGAGGAGCTGTAGCTAGGCTCACAAGCTGCACCAACCGGTCCAGGTCTTCCCCAAACAGCATAGCTGCCTGAATGAGTGCGCTGTCGGTTCTCGACTTTTAAGTTTTGCAGATCTTCTCTCAAGCCTTGTGTCTCAGGATGAAGCACCCCCCACCCCCAATTTTGTGTTTTACTATTTATTTTCCTTCCTTTTCCTGCTTAGGAAGGGAAAGTGAATTCTGCTCATCCAAATGGAGCTGCTAAGTTTTTCAGGTGCTGAGATGGAAAGGCTAGCCAGCAAGGAGAGTGTGCACTGTTCATGTTCTGCAAAGCACCCCACCCTGGTCAACTTAGGCAAGGGAAGAAAAAAATCAAAGGCTAACAGCTGGTGCTTTGAAGATTCTTGACCTTGCATTTTGCTTTCATACTTATGTTCAGAAAGCTTGCTTTGAATATGTCATCCCTCCTGACTCATTTAGCATAAAATATTTTTCCCAGGCTGTACCATGAGGCTTTCTAAAGTAAAATATTCAGCTCTATCAAGCTTGCCTATTGTATCCAGTAAGTGGAGCAAAGCACTTCAAACTTCAGAAGAGGTCAGGTCGTACTCATTCATAATAATAGCACATCAAACCTATGCAGGAAAGAAAAGAATAAACACCACCAGCAGAGGGCCATACAAAGGTCTCACGTCTTTTATTTTATTGACAGGTTGCAATGAATACAGACACATATAATCCCAGGACATTTCTCATTGTGCTGACATTTTACAAAATGATCTAAGTGCCAATCTGTCTGTACTGTAACATAGATTATAAACATACTCCCCCCCCCCCAAAAAAAATGGTGAATACAGCTTTGCAGTGTGGTACTTGCAGGAAGAAGCATTGAGTGTCTGGTCAGCTTCATGTTCAAAGACACAGTGGACACATTGACTAAGGAGGACTACTAGGATGGTGTAGAACCTCCTGGGACTTTTCTCAACGTGTGCAGTGGAACTATGCTGTGAGAATTTGAATGAATCAACCACACTGACTCGTGGTTCCCGTGGAACCATGCTTGACATTGTTTTCACCTGTGTTCCTGTAATGATGTCAAAAATGGAAGCATGAAAAGAATGTTACATTACTTTCAGTTTTCTTGCAGAATGTTTTAAAAATTTTTGTGTTGATGACATGCAGGTAGCCCTGCTGTATGTGTGGATTCTGTATCCTTGGGTTCAAACCAACTTGAATGGAAAAAATATTGTCTTAAAAAAGTATATCTGTACCAGGAAGGCATTGATCTTATTCCCTGGACAATTATAACAACTATTTACATGGCATTTATATATAGTAGGCACCACAAATAATCTAGAGATGACTTAAGCCATATGGAAGAGCTATGAAAATCTTAATACATTTTCTATGACAGATTTAGCATTCCCAGGGATCCTGGAGCCAGTTTCCAGAGAGGAAATTGAGACATGACTGCATTTGTAAAGAGACTCAAGGTAATACTGCACCATCCTTTGACTGATTTTTTGAAGTGTTCCATTGTATGGTACAGAAATCAGAGATGAAGAAAGATTTTTGTAGAAGCTTGAAGAAGTAAGGGAAGTGTTGGTTGTTAGGAATCTCCAGAGATCACAGGCATTCCTGCTAACACACATGTAGGCAAAGAAGGATGCTAGTCAAAGTCCTGGTTGAGGTGAGCTGGGTAAGCCTGAGTGCCCATGGAGGCAGGAAGATAACAATGACCTCATGTTAACCCAGGCAGTATAGTCCTTAAAAACAATACTGTTATCAACAACAGTCTCCAGCCTCCTGCTGGCTCACAATCCACATCTGTGAATCCAGAGACAAGGCAGGGGATTCCCAGGAGCTCCAACCTGCTTCTCTTTATTTTATGAAAACGCTTATTTGTCAGGGTGGCTAAAATTCCTTTTCTTGGGGAAATATGCACAATATCAACACCCTCCTCCTAGACCCTAACAACAAACCCAAGTTCACACCCACACCGTTCACCTTGTGGAACTGGAGATTATTGGCCACACTTACAGAGGATGGGTCAGAGGCTACTGACAGGATTTCATGTGTGAACATGAAACAACCAACCTGTAAAATCTACACTTAACATGGCTTCACTTAATGGCTTCCTCATCTCCTTCCCCCAGTTTTCCCAAGTCTGTATATTCTATTCTAGCACTCCAACCCCACCCCCCAGATCCAGGCTATTGGCAATGAGGGCCAAGTTGCATACAAATGGCTGGCAGGGATGACTGGAAATTAGGTGAGGGTCCAATGGCCTTCCCAACTCCTCCTTCTCTGAAGGAGAGCCAACAATCCACAGGCCCAATCCTGATGGATTCCTGCAAGCAGGCATAGCTCCTCTCATAAGCATCTTGGCAGACTGTCTGGAAGGATAGTACCTTATAGTAGTCAGTATTAAAGAAATTGTCATGGTTCTATGAATAGTAGTTGAAAGTGGATTTTTTAAACAATAATTATTTTTTAATTAGGAAAGTAAAATTCTTATTTGTGTTAAAGCTAATACTTGCATTGGCAAAGATTAGCTTTCTAAGACTTCCTACAAATAAAAATAGGCAATTTTCAGTTTGGAACGTGAAAATAACATCCGTTTCACTTAACTGAGAGTTCTTGGCTTTCGGGCTCTGAACCTTTCTCTCTGGCCTTAACTATTTCACTTCTACTAATTGCTGACATGTTTTAGCCTCTCTTTTTCGCCGAGAAAGGGATATTGTCCCAGCAAGCCACAGTTACAAGCACCAGGGGGAGTCCAGGTAAGCAAGCTCCACGCCGGAGATGATCGCCTTTTGGCAAACCATCTCACCTACTTGCAATGGCGTCCCTAAGAGAAGGCACACAGCCCACGGGAGGCAACAGGGTTGGGTGCGCTGCAGAAAAACTGCCAGTGCCCAGGACTCCATCGATGACACGGGCCAGTCCCAGGGCCCTTTCTGCGCCTCCCTGCGGGATCCCCAAGCTCTCCTTCTCGCCAGCCCCGCCCCCTTCCCGACCTCCAACTCCGAGTCCATTCAAACCTCACTGCCTTCGCCTGGCGTTGCCAAGCGTGTTAATTGGGGAAACTCCTCCCCGCCGCGGCTGGAAGGCACAGCCAGAGCAGCCGCGACCTCCCGCCCCGCCTCCGAGCCGAGCGGCCCCAGCTCAGAGCCGGAAGGCAGCCCGGGCAGTGGGTAGCCCGCGGGTCTCCGACTGCAGGAGGAGGGCGCCCCGCCACCTGCCGCCTCCCTCCCCCCCGCGCGCCGAGAGCTCCCGGGCGCGGACACATCCAGCGTGCGCCCCGCGGAGCCGGGACCGTCGGGGGCGCCGCGCTCGGAGCTGACACCTGTCCCACCAGGTCCGCCGAACCCGGAGCTCTGCAGCTGGTGGCAGCCTAGGCGCCTGAGCGGGAGGGGAACAGGCCCGCGCTCCGTGAAAGCCGCGCCCGGTAGAGGCCTCGGACCCGAGCCCGGAGCGCCATGGCTGCGAAGCTGCTGCTTCTCCTCTGCCTGTTCTCGGGCTTGCACGCTAGGTAAGTGGCTCCCCGGCGTTCCCCGAGGCCGGCGGGGGCGGGAGGGCGGCGGGGTGCGCTGTCTGCCGGCCGCCAGTCCCTGGCGCGCGCCGTCCACTGGGCTGCAGGAGAGGGACCGTACCGGCACCTCACCTGTAGGTCTCCCCCAGAACCAGACCCCTTCTCTAGGGCAGCAGCAGCCCTCTGCAATCCGCTATGTGTGGGGACTGTTCCAGTGATTTTAGGATGTGGTGATTTTAAGGGAATTTGGAAATCAAAATGAGGCAGTAGCCTTATCTTTCTCCTCATCTGTTCCCCTTGCCAGCTATCCAAGGGCTTTCTGCCATACATGGGTTAAAACTCTATATCCACTCCATCACTGAAAAGAAACCTCAAGACCCGGGAATTCTGTTTTCTCAGCCACCCTATGTTGGAGGGGGCTGGGGCAGGTGGTCAGGAAGAGCCCTGCATCTCCCCCAGCTCCTACACCACATGCAAGCACCTCAGACTCTATAAAAGAATCATGTTGCGGTTCACATGGGAGCTTCTTCCTGAAGCTGTAGGAAATTACCTCACTGTGAATACCCCAAACCAGCACCAGTCAGCTAACAGAAACTCAGAAGCACTCCACAGACAGACAAGGGCTCATGAGAAGGGCGGTGGCACCTGAAGGGTTAAAGCCTGTTGCCATAAACACAACTAGAGATGCTGACATGGTTTAATTTCATCTCCCAGAATGGTGCTCTGGTTAGAGACTGCAGACTACCCTGGGCTTGGGAAATCCCTCACTGCTTTCCTTAACCTCACCAGAGGAGTCAGAGGGCTCCTCATCCTGTCCCCAGAACACACTTGTTTTGACGTTTCCTGGACCATAAAGCAAATGAGAAAGCAGCTATCCCTGTGGGTCACAAGTCCTGTAGCCGTCACAGGCTTTCATTTTCATTCACATTTGTGAAATAGCAAAGAACTATGAAGCCACTCTAATAACTAAACTATGAGAGGAGGGCTTCCCAAATTCTTGCTCCAGCTAACCAATGCCCTTACCCTAAGGAAGAAAGCCCTGTCCCTGTCCTTGCTGAATTGAAATTGGAGACTTGAACAATCACTCAGGAAGGGGAAGCCTCTCCACCAAAGTTTCTTCTTTGTCCAAGGAGGGAGCTAGGAAGTATAATGTAAAAGTGTGTTTTCAAGGGGATTGTGTCTGGAGGGAGCTCAGTTTAGAGCAGGTGCCACCAGAAGCATCAATGAGGCTGTAGTCACATCAGTGAGTCTCTTCCTATAGCCACCAACTCAAAAACCTGACTTGCAGTTGAGGGTTCAATCAGTTGTGTAGATTTATAGGTAGTTAACAGTTCTGCAAGCCTCATTGTTCTGAGTGCTTCCGGGGAGGGTGGAGCAGACTGGTTTCTGCAGATTTCCAAACATGAAAATCTCTTGGTTGTCCTCATCTTTCCTTTCCAGCCAAGGTATATGTACTAATGTTAATATGTTCTCTATCAGAGCTTTCCGTCTTGGTAATTATGATTGCATATCAGTTTAAAAAGAACCCATTTTGTAGTTATTTTATTGCTATATGTCTCACTTTTGAAGGGGTGTTTGCTTTTTAATGGGTTTTACAAACATGTAAAATAATTGGATGGCCCATCCATCTTTCAATCTATTATAGTTCAGAGAGGATTCTCTTCAGCATTGCAAGGTGCCTTGCTGGTATGGATGCTCCTAGATAGGCTCTGACAAGATTCCTTGTGGCTCTGCAATGGGAGTGCCGCCCCCACCCCTGACACCCATGGCTGAACTTATTACACAGGAAAACACGATGCCTCATTTCGATATTTTGAAGATGCTTGCTGATTTTCGAGGTTCAGGAGTTTGTATTAAAGTTGAAAACTCCTTCAGATGTTGTTTCTGTCATTCTGATGGAGAGAAGGTGTAAGGGCTGAAGGTAATGTCTGGGGATTGAGTGCGTGTTCGCTTTATTTTTAAGGAAAAGCTAATTGCAGCAGCGCTGTTTAGGATTCAGCAATCCAAGCAACAGAGTGCTCAGAGGTTATATATAACCCATTTAGAATTTTGAAGAGGAAGGAAATTCCACTTCATCCACCTGCTAGTGGGTCCTCTGAGGTAAGATTGGTTTTCCTCGGGGCACAGTATAGGGCAAGGGCTCATCTGGACTGGAAGAAGCACGGTGCTGGCAGCTGAGGAGCAAGGACCTCTGAGGCACCCTGTGCCAGCGACAGAGCTGGGTTTCTGCGGAGGAGAGTGAGACAACAGGAGATAAAAAGCCTCCTTTCCCTGCCCTAATCCCCAGGCTTTCCATGCCCTTATCCCCAGCCCTCCCACCTGCCCTAGCCACTCAGGAAGCTTATGCAATTTCAGGTAACGCCTCTCACCACTAGAGGGAGAACGAGACTCCTTATAAACCTGCGTTTGAAGTAGCTAGCTTTTCTGGGTCTGTGCAGAGTATAGACTTATAGTTAACACAGAGGAGAGACTGTGCGGCCGGTGCACATGTGACTGTTGGAGCCGTGAGGACCATGGAGCTGTAGACCTACTGCTTTTACAATGGTGGAGTAGAGGGCGGGAGGAGAGGAGGCCAGAGGAGAAACAGGCATGTAGCAGGGCACTGGAGAGGGCTCATTTCACTTGGAGGAGCTATCTACCCATTTCCACAGTCTCCAAGTATCTTTGCTCTGGGATAATTTGTTAGGTCCTAAAGGCAGTATGTGGCTGTCTGCCGTCCAGGTGATTCATGCTTTTTCTTGCTTTACTTTGCTTTTGTAAGGTGATGCCATTAGCATTTGTTGATACAGCTTCCAATGACATAAAATACTTGAACATTAAAAATTCTATAATGTCCTTTGTACAAACGCAGTTTTACAGGTAGTGAAGTGCATTCCCTTTTGGGTGGGATACCAAATATCCTAAGTTCCTCTTGGTGGTGAATGTTCAGCTTAGGTGAAATCCACAACAGTTTTGGTGTCTATGGACCACTTATTTTAATCCTCTAACTAGTGAAGTATTCATGAAACAGAATTCAGTTTCAGATCATTTAAGGAAAAGCTTAATTGCAAAAACTATTCCACAAGACTCATTATCAGCATCTCACACACAGGTGGATAGCTGTCCTTTCATGTCCACATAGTCCAAATTTACAGCTCTAAGCAGCTGTTGATTGGAAAAACAGTGCTGAACATGTACAGACTTTTTCTTGTCCTCATCCCCTAGCCAATACCTTATAATAGCTGTTTACATAGCAGTTATGTTGAACTAGTCATCTGGGAATGATTAGAAGCATTTGTGAACATTATGTGTAAATAAAGAATCGTTTTATGTGTGGACTTCACTATCTTCAGATTTTGGTGTGCTCTGGGAGTCCTGGGGTCCCACCTTCAGTAAAGACAAGACAGCAGTGTGTGAGTTTAGAATGCTGGACCACTACTCCTGTCCACCATAGCTTGTTAACACACCCAAAGACTGATGCAGATAAGAGCTGACATATAGATATTCATTTATATGTACCTCTGAAGATTTGAGTGAAGCTGAAGGGCTGAACTTTAAAATTATTGTACTTTTCACTGATTCCCTGTTAACTCAGGAAACTGACATGCCTGAGGACAAGCACGTTGGTGTAGAGCTGACAATGGACTCCTGTCTGGGAGCCGGGACAGAAAGAAGCTTGAACCCAGTGGGGACAAATTCTTCTAAGTGCATCCCCTCCCACCTTCTTTTTGAAAATTACATCAAGGCACATATAGACAAACAAGGACAGGGCTTGTTCCTTATGCTCTTCCAAGGTTCAGAGGCTCCCATGTGTGAGGAAATAGTGTGTCAAGGTAGAAAGAGACTCCTTTCTTTCCAAGCCCCTGGTGCTGTGACTGGATGGGCCTGATTCATTGAGAAAACCTGCTGTTGTTTTGAGGTTTCTCCTCATAAGAACTCCTGTAAGCATTGGTCACTCTGCAGAAAGGTCTGTGGTACTTAGGACAGAAGGTCAGAGATGTCCAGGCCCTCCCTGGGATCCACTTAAAAGCTCAGAGTGTTAAAGGCATACTAGAAAATATGTAATTCTTAAAGCCTGCTGAGAAAGAGATGAATCAGTTTGGGTGATCAAGGTTTGTAAATTGCCAGAGGACGTTCTTCACTCATCAACTAACACATCTCCTGGCTGTCTCCCATGCTGAGTGCCAGCAAAACAGGCCACCTCAGAATACCCACACAGTTGTCTCTCAAAAGCCAGGCCACTAGGAAGGCACAATCAGAGTCAGCCATTTTCAATAAGTCTGTTCTGTAAAAGCTACTCCCTCCTTCCACAGTCTTGTTGGTGGGACTTAGAAACAGTACTACAAGGTACTCTGAAGTGTGTCTGACTTTGGCAGGTTAGTAAGGTACCATTTCCTGTTGGCCAGTTGGGCATCAATTTAGCCATTTCCTGTCCCTGGTTTAACTTGGGCAGGGCTCTTCTGCTAACAGCAATTGCATTCTTCCTATGGGATGTTTCCTAATTTACATTTTACTTCTTTTAGTGTTACAGGTAACTTGTATGACTAGGCGAAAGGTGCTGAGGACGCCCCCTCCCCGGTTTTAGTAGCACTTAGAATGGGCAAATTTAAGGAATTTTCTGGAACTGTTGCAAATAATGTGTCACATTATGTTATAACTGCAGGTCCAGGAGGGTGGAAGAAGATGAGAATGAAGACTCTCCATCAAACCAGAAGTGGGTCTTAGCACCCAAATCACAAGACACTGATGTGACGCTGATTCTCAACAAATTGCTGAGGGAATATGACAAAAAGCTGAGGCCGGACATTGGAAGTGAGTGCCATTTGTTATTCCAATATAAAAGAGACTATGATAATATATGTATTTCGAATTTTCATATTAAATAATTATAAATTCAGAATTGTCCACATAGTGCAATAAGGTCTACTGTATTCATCACGGTTTTAAGTGAGTTGTAACGAACGCAAGAGATTGATGCTGGTCTGCCAAGTGTGAGTCTGTATTCCCTGTCGTATCCTTGTGGTTTTAATGACCGTTCCTCAGTTAGTCTGCTGAGCTTGCTGCCTGTGTTTAGTTTTAACCAGTGCATTCTCTTCATGGGAATGGAGGTTCATGCTAGTCCCTCTTTTATAGGCTGGGCTGTTAAAGCCATACTCTGCCTTTTAACTGCTGAGGTTGAGAGCACCTTGCTCATTGTTTACTGCCAGTCTGATCTGCAGCTTCTCTTCGTTCTCTCCTCACGATCTTTCTCAGGAAGGGCTTTAATACTGATGCAACAATCTGATTCATTGGCTCTCCTTTTATGAAGGTTCTCAGAACTCTTTCCATGGGGCTCTGTTTGATGGTTCTCATCAGCTTGTGACCTTTCATGCGACCTTCGCCGCAAAGTCCCTTCAGTTTTCCAAGTCCAGGACTGCACTTTGTCTGTATCAGGATCTATAATTACCTTTGT